GGAAGGGAAGGGAAGGGAAGGGAAGGGAAGGGAAGGGAAGGGAAGGGAAGGGAAGGGAAGGGAACGGGAAATGCCATTCAGCAGCTCTAGCTGCTGGGGCTGTCTGGTACCTCCCTGCTGCTGTTACTGGTGCTGCACCTCTGTGCTGGAGCGGAGAGGAGGGAGGTGATGGGGGCGGGGGGAGAAGAGGTGGAGAAGAGCCAGATAAATATATAAATTCCACACAAACTGTTAAAATCTGCTCTGAGAGTCAATTTTGACTTTTAGGCTCATGAACCATTAATAAAAATCTCCTTATACTCAAATGGCTCTCAAATGCCGTGATAGCGGATTACAAACTCCTAATGGAGATACTGTATGATCAAATATTCTCTAAGCAGTAAGGTCTAACGTACCGGGGGTGGCCGGGCCACCTGATTATCAGCTTATTGGCAAATACTTCTTAGTGCGGGATGTGCCGAAAAGAAAGCATCTTCCTTGGCACAGTCCCTTTTCTGTTATTCATTTAAACATTCATTCCCAATCTAGGAATGGCATTGTGTGGTCTGGGGACCGTAGGATGACCCGTGACAATGATGTCCTCACATGTGGGGTCACATACCACACCATCACGGGGCTTGACGCTGATTTCTGGTGTTTCTCTGACATCTTCCTTGGTCTCAAACACCTCCTGGCAACAGCCCTTGCCAGGACCAAGCCACTGTACATTATGTATAATTACCCGGTAATTAGATTTGGAAGGCTGAGGTAACGTCGTTGTCGGGAGAGCGTGAGAGAAGGAGGTGCCTCTGCGAGACCAGAGACCTCCCTACAGAGATCCCTATGGAGTTAATTGCTGCAAAAAACGGACTGTATTTCTGTTGTTTTCTGTTTTCAAGGAGGAACTGGCTCTCTCCCTGCCTCCCCTCACATTCTCACAGGTAGGGACCCTGATATTTATTCTCATGTGGATGCTGGTAATGAGAGATGCAATATTTCTGCTGTTGGTTAGAAAATGCATCGTCCTCTGCAGGGAGCAACTTGCCAGCAGAGCCCTGTGCCCTGGGAGGGACTAGTACCAGGCTGGAGAGGAGGGAGTTTACAGCCTACTCAGAGGTTCTTTAACTCTCACTTTGCTGAAGTAATGACACAAGAGAGCTTTCAAGACTTGGAGCATTTTTTGTTTTCCCAAAGGGGCTGTGAGGTCGGGGAACCTGCCTGGCAGAGGAGTACCTGGGAAAATCTTGTCAATATATGAGCTATCCAAGGGAAAGCTGAGATTATTTGAGTATTTTGGTGAGTGCAGAGTACTACATGGAAGACAAAAATGTATGTTTATCCTTCCAGCAACAATTCCCATGCTGACAGGTTAAAATAAGATGAATTCAAAGTGGACACCAGAGACAAATATATTATCAGCTGAAACAAATTGCCTTAGGGCATGGAAGATAAGCAAGATTGCTGAAGTATTGCAGTGAAATAATCATCCGGGTTACTCAGGACTATGTACAAGACCAGGTGATCACTGTGAACATTTTCTTGTTGGTCATCTTTGAACATGGTGACTCACACAGATCAGAGTGTTGGTGATATGGGTGGGCTGTGCAGTTGTGATTGGTATTACGGCAGGATTTCCAGGCTCTTGGATCACAGAATCACAGAATCACAGAATCACAGAATGTTAGGGACTGGAAGGAACCTCGAAAGATCATCTAGTCCAATCCCCCCGTTGGAGCAGGAACACCTAGACGATGTTACTCAGGAAGGCATCCAGGATCTCCAGGCTCGTGGCTCATTCAAGACAATTGTGGCAGAAGCACAGCACGTTGTCTGTGTCTGGTCTTTCCCAGGTGAGTGGAAGAGGTCATCTGAAGTGGAATGAGGACTGCTAGCATAACACTGGGATCCCAAAAGGTAACCCAGTCTTGGCAAATGTCTTGCAAGGATTTCCTCGAGCAGTTTGGGTCAGCCCTACTGCACCACTGCTTTTTCTTTTTCTTCTTTTTTTTTTTTTTTTTTTGGCTGCTCTCTCTCACACTGCCTCCTCGCCATGGGGACAGGGGACACAGTGCCAACCCCTCCAGGTGCGCAAACTCTGTCTCCTCCTGCAGGTACTGCCAGGGGTGAATTAAACTGCTAAAGGCTGCCAAAGCTCGATTCTGACTCGTGGCCTCCCATACCAATAGGAAGAAAGGTGACTGCAGAAGAGATCACAGCAGGGACATCTGAGTTTCTTTCCTTGTGTTTTTTGGGGTGCTTTTGGCATTTTTCAGAGTGTCAATGCCTGAATGTATCATCCAGGTCTTCTGCAAGTCTGTGACATTGCAAGGGATGGTGATGGATTGAGTGAAATTTAGTAATAAGTGGTGTGCTGGAGCTATCTGGAGTTTGGTGGAAACAACTGTGCAGATGCAGAGCTCATCCTATGGCATTACACTGGTTCCTACATAACTGAGACCAAAATTAGAACCCCACTATATGTATTTAATCACTTGTATTGGTGCAACCACATTAAAATAGTCCCTATACGTCTAATTTCCTGGGGAAAATCCTAGCCTCTGATATCTCATTTTTTACATTGATGACATCACTTGGGAGTGAGGGTCTATTAAGGCTCCCCTCATCACTGTACTATTGGGTCAGACTGGAAAAATCAAAGGCAAAAAGAGCATCAAGTAGCACCCTGGGCTGCTAGGGGTATGCTAAGGGTCCCTCCCTGCCAGGGTGACTCTGCAGCACCGATTTCTTACATGCATATGGGGCCTATAAACAACACAGAAAGGCCATCATAGCTTAGGACCCATCTACATGGCTTTTATGCTTCTCTGCGGTGCCTTAGTGACTTCGACCTTTGCATGGATACTGCAGTAAACAGTCATTATTACCTGGCCACAGCCTTTAATGTTTGGTGTGAGATGTCTGGTCCTTTCTAAGACATCTTGGAGGCTGAGATTTTCTAAATCCAGGAGCTGAACTTTGCAGAGGGTATTCTTAGTCCAGCTGGGAAGGAGATGAGCAGAAAGGGCTCAGGGACAAGGGCAGTGCTCACTGCTGACAGGGTCTGGAGGACCATGGATGGTAGGGACAGAAGCAATTTGCTTTGCAAGTCTGTGTTGGCCTGAGGATTAGCTCCATCTATGATGTGTTTGTGAGAAATTTTTGGCATCAGGATGATAAGGTGCTTGGCAAGGGACTCAAACAAGGGGCCTTCCTGCAACCCTTCTGGGTGATGGGACTGTTGGAGCAAGCCCAGAGGAGGCCACAAAGATTATCAGCAGTTTGGAGCACCTTCCCTATGAGGACAGGCTGAGAGAATTGAGGCTGCTCAGCCTGGAGAAGAGAAGGCTCAGGAGAGACCTTATGGTGGCCTCTCAGTACTTAAGGGTGCTACAGAAAAGAAGGGGAGGGACTCTTTATCAGGGAGCATTGTTGTAGGATGAGGGGTAATATTTGCAAATTGAAGGAGAGTGAATTTAGATTAGATATTGGGAAGAAATTATTTCCTGTGAGGGTGGTGAGACACTGGCACAGGTTGCCCTGAGAAGTTGTGGATGCCTCTCCCTGGAAGTGTCCGAGGCCAGGCTGGACGGGACTTTGAGAAACCTGCTCTGCTGGGAGGTGTCCCTGCCCATGGTGAGAGGTTGGAACTGGATGATCTCAAAAGCCCCTTCCAACCCAAACTGTTCTATGGTTGTATGATTCTGTGCCATGCAGGATCACGTGGGGGTGGTTTGGATGAGATGACTCACGACGTTGGTGTTCCTGTGTCAGATGCAGCCCCTCAGCGGAGCATGGGGCAAATCAACCAGCTGTTGTCTGGCACTTGGTCACAGAGGAGTTGAGGTGTTGTAAATGCGGGAGACGGGCTGAGCTGCGTGAAGAGGGAGAGTGTGAGACAAATCAGCCGTGTGACTCCCTGGCAGGACCAAATATATGTAGGGCTCCTCACATTCAGAGAAACCAGCAACTCTCATATTGGGGTCATACTGGGAATCTGTGATTGTAACTGTCCCCTATCAGTATTAACAAACAGCCTCTTTACTCACTCCATAGTTTAATAGAAAGTGATTAGATATTATGCAGAGTCAAATTACTCATGGAGACTAGGTATGATGTGCTTATTTTTTATTTGCCTTCAAATCACAAAAATCACAGAAGCGTTAATTCCAGACCCAGCCATACCAGCCTGTTGTGGGAGCTTTAAAATTAAAGCAATCACAAGCCTGCCCTTAGGTTTCCAGTGACTTATGCAAGAAACCAAACACAGGAGAACAAAAGGACAAATGAAAAACTGAGATTTCAGGCTGGAATTCAGCCCTCTCTTGGTTTGTACGAGGAGTGACGGGATGGAGTCAACTTTCCTGTGTGAGGAGCAGGGAGGGAGGGGATTGTCCTGATCAGATCTAATTTCCTACCTGTTTACTGTAGGCATTTGCATAATGATCACCCTGCAAAGAGCTGTTAGCATATGCTTACACTGATTTTTGAATCCGTTAAAACACAAAATGGGTGCAGACTGCTGCTGTTTACAGCACATCTCTTCTTCCTGATTGCATCCCAGGGGATGGGGCCAGTGCCTGCCCCCACTACCTGAGGCGGCTGGCAGCCTCTTCAGATGGCATCAGGACAGGACGCAGAGAGATAAACACAAATTGTTTTATTGCCATCCATAAGGAAATATAAGAGATCTGCAATGGGATCTTTTAGGGGTCATTTTCTATTTCAGTTCCTTGCTCTGTACTGGAAGAAAGAGACTTCTCTGATACCCCATATTCCTGATCCAGGCTCTAGCACGGTGTCAGCAGCTAATGGATTTTTGAAACTGCGCAAATCAGAAGAGAGACAAGGACAGCGGACAGTTATTGGAACTCAAGCAGGGTATGTGCTTCGCCAGAACTTTCACCAAAGCAGAACTTCATGTATAAAGTGATGATTTACAGACCCTCACCCTAATGCGGTGGGAAGTTGAGCTTATTTGAGAATCATTTGTTTTCAGTGAGGACAGGCACACATGTGCCATTGTTTTGGGAGAGTTTACCGTCAGCTGAATGACAAAAAAAGATAAAGGAGGGGGATGCAAGGCAGACACAACCGTGCTATTGCCAAAGGGTGGCAGAGGGTTGCAAGGTTTGAGTATCCAAGCAGCGAGGTGTCAGCAAACAAACTCAAGCTGCTTTACCTTTCAGCAGATCTGTTCATTGCTTTGCTTCAAAAAACAGGGTGGTGATGCCTTTCCCCACCTCCCCCTTTTCAGCTTCTCCCACGTCTGTTTTCACAGGTTGGCAGCCTCCAGCAGCAGTCATGCATGTTCCTCTAGCTGCTATGTGCTGAAGAGTTATGACCCCTCCACATCCACATCTTTTTTAAGGGAGGCATTTTAGTAGCCTGGGTGACTTCGACAGCGTAGAGGCCAATTGCACATGGAGCTGTGCCAGTAGATCTCTGACGGGATGAGAACACTCAGGAAAGAGCACAGGAAGGAGGTCAGAGGCAGTAACTTCACCCCTGGGATGGAGCTGCCCAACACATTGCAAAGGCTTACTGCTCTGGGTACATTTGTTCTTGAAAAATTCACGTTGGCTGCTTCTTGTTGCACAATATTCTGCATAAACTCCATAGTCACAGAATGGAAAAGTCACAGAACAATTCAAGTTTAAAGGGACATTTGAAGGTCCCCAGACCTAGATCCAGCTCAAAGGGAAGATAATTTCAAAGTTAAATCACATTGCTTCAGCCAAATTTTGAATATTTTTGAATATTTTTGAATATCTCCAAGGATAAGAGATTCCTCTCAGATTTTCTGGTCCCTGTCCCAGAGCTTAACTGCTCATACGGAGGAGAGTTTTTTCCTATCTGTCCCCTGTTGCGTCTTGTGTCTGTGACTGAAAGGGAGCCTGAGGGATTGCTGTCATCTCCCAGGCAAGCCCAAGGAGAGATCATTTGCCTCAGCTCCCCTGACTGCTGCTCTCTCCTGCTTTGTGTCCACAGCACAGAAGTACATCTTGATTTGGAGGATAAGGGGTTATGAATAACATCCTGTTGTATGAAGTGGTAGGTCCAGATGGTATTTTGCTCTGTCTTGTTTTGTGAAGCTGTGAAGCCCCTTTGAGCAATCCCATAGTATGTCCCATAGCAGGGACATTTGTGAGCCTCCTTTGGCAGCTGCTGCAGCTGGGCTTTGTCCTCTTGGACCCACCTCTCTTCCACACCAAACATGTCCTAATGATCCTTCATGGTGTCTGGAAGTCCTCTGGGAAAATTGTGAGGGATTCCCATCACACCAGGCTGGCCCAAGGACAGCAGAGATGGTCTCACTGTCTTGTATGTGGGGGTGACAGAGTGACATTTGTCTCTTCACTGTGTCCTCAGTCCACATTTCCCAGCAGTGGTGACACTGAGGTGTTAAGTGACTGTTCCCCATCACTTCTGTGGAGCTTTTTTGCTTTCTGCTGTGTCATACGTGGGACATTGATGCTGTCCTTTGTAGGATCATAGAATGCTCAGGGTTGGAAGGCACCTCTCGAGATCATCCAGTCCAACCCCCTGCCAGAGCAGGATCACCCAGGGCAGCCACACAGGAATGCGTCCAGGTGGATTTGGAAAGTCTCCAGAGCAGGAGACTCCACACCCTCTCTGGGCAGCCTGGGCCAGGGCTCTGTCACACCCACAGTGTAACAGTGGAGTCGTTGCTGTGGGATTGGTTCTGCTGCTCAGCACCCTGTCCCACGCCCTGGCCACGGCTCACAGGTGAGCCTGTTCCTAATTAGGGACTCGGTGGTGTCTGCATGGCAACGTTGTCATCTCAAGAGTTCCTACTTGTACAATACAAGTACCTCTTGTCTCCTCTCCTCTTGGTTTTGTCTAACAAATGGTACCTCCTTCTGTTGGGGTTGCTTCAGCTCATCAAATACCTTTATCATCTGCTTCAGGATCCCTGGCAGGATTCCTGGGGATGGTGTTTCACTCACTCCTCTTCCCTTTTCCCCATAAGACTGTTAAGATTTCTATTTTCTCATATTCATCTCCATGGCCAGCTGCCTGTGCAGATGCTCCTGTGCTTGTAGGAGGTTCTTTGTCTAGAAATCCAGCATTTCCAGTGGTCTGAGACCTGCCTGTTTGCTTTCTTCAGTAGCTGCTGAATGTTCTCCTGCCTGTCATTACCCTGTGCTTGCCATGAGTCACACTGAATGGTGGCACCCATTACATTTTTTTTGCCTTGGGCTGGATACAAACAAGCCAGGAGATCACATTTTAGCAACCTGGGCAGTTTTTAATTAAGTGACTAATTTCCAGTGGCACTTGCTAGAGTGGTCATCCCGAGGGGGGTTCCCAAGGCTGCTTCCAAATGCCATCGTCCAATATCTCCAAGCCGCCATGGAGGCTGACCCATCCTACGTCTCTTTTGGTTTCCTGATAGCATTTAAAAAACGTATATTGCTAAACCAGCTTTGACTCCCCCTGGCAGCGTGGCACAAGCAGGGAAGTTACAAACCACTTATGAGCTGCTGGCAGAAATCCCACCATCCCTGTTTGACCAACAAGGCATGGGGACGCTATGGGTCGGATGGACCTCCCGTGGGATCATTCTGGGATCAGCCAGGTGTCTCAGGCACATCTTGAGCCTCCGAAGGTGAGTTACTACTGATAACTTCAAACCTGTTCTTCCTCCCTGGCAGTCAGGGCTGGCAATTCAAAATCCAACAGCCGGGAAAAGGGGCAGCTCTGGGAAGCTGCTGTTTTGCTGCCATCACTCCGCAGCTGCAGCGACTGGCGCAAGAGCCCGGCTCTCATGCTGGAACCACACGTTGCTTTCTCATTATGCAACTGCTGTATTTTAATAGAAACCTCTTTTTAGGCAGTCTTAAAAACAGTTGGATTTTTTTTCCTCCTTCTGTCAAATGACCAACTTAATAATTCACTAGTTGTGCTGGGATTAGGCACTTTGGGCCACACTCTGGATTTCTTATCTTTAATGTAGTTCTCGACGACATCTTCTGCACTTAATCCCCTGACAAAACTCCCTTTGATTCCCGCGACAGTCGCTCACAGAGATCAAACGCAGAACGTTGCTCTGTCAGGTAGAGCCGGGCAAATAATTTGTGACAAATAATTTACCCACAGACTTTCTCCTCATTTTCTGAGCACAAATTGTCCATTTGGTTGAGGCTCGGGACTGCCGATGGATTTGTTTCTGGCTACACGAGTCTGAGTTCAATGACTCACTCATAAGAAAGAGCCTGCAAAAAACATTTAAAGAGCTTCAGCATTGACGATGCTTTGACCTCGTTCAGCATCAGCTTCGGTTTTCAGCGGTGCTGAGCCCATTTCACCCCACCAGTGACATCAATGCACAACAGCAGCGCTCGTGAGTCATCACGCTGTATTTCTGTACCAGATTGGAAGAGAGCCGAGACTTGCAGTGCAAATAATCTCTAATATCAACTTAAAATATCCCGTTCGGGGGATGAGCTGTAATGTATGCACCTGATATGAGTTTTATCACTTTCCTTTGCAAGAATAGTCACCGAAAACCAAGCAGAGGCGCAGAGGATGCGCAGAGATAAAGGGACCTGGTTTCCATGTGGGATTGGCTGTGGCAGGGATGACGGGCACCAACCTCTCCAGCAGTGTTAGCCAGACCTGTCTGCACCCCACATCACATTACTGGCGAGAGAACAAGTGCCCAGTTTTTATTTTGCACTGCTCTAGCCTCCATGCCAGTTTAATCATTTAATGGAACATTAACGGCACCTCCGTGGGTGCTATATTAATGCAATCTGGGTGGTTTAGGTAGAGAAAAAATTAGGAATTAGTATTTATGAGGAAATAGCCATCAGAAAGTTCTGTTATAGACTGATTTGAGTGATAGTTATGGCTGCAATTTTACAGGCAGGCATGTTTTATCTTGCAATTTGTGTCAATTTGAGATTTATTTTTTTTCCTCCCTTTTTCGAAAATTACATGCCTGCAACTCTTGAAAAAGCACAAAGGTGGGAACTTCGAGGTCTCCACCTATTTTCCAAACAGCCCCAGTAACGCCTGCAGGGAGCAGAGAGCAGTGCTGCCTTACCAGGGCCCACAGAGACGCTTCATTAACCCAATTAAGCAGGTGGATGGAGAGGGTCTCTCTGATAATTTACACCTTACTAATGAAGTGTGTGACTCTTAATCTCCTCCAAACAAGATACACTCATGAAACACTGGTGCAAGGAAAGGGGAAATTAATTAGGTGAAAAAACTATGAGATTATAGCAGAGGGATTCCAAGGAGGCAACTGTAACATGGCTGCTGATTCATTTGTGCCTGTCTTAAATTAGTGTCTGAGCTGTCAAGTAAATAAGACCCAGCATTATTTTGGCTTAAAAGACATTCTCACCAGGCCCAGCATGAGGCACCTTATTTTACTGCATGACACACCATTTTCCATGCCCCAGCTGCCTGAACGGCCCTGAGAGGGGAAAAAAACCAGGCTGAGCAAAGCCTGGCCTTTTTTCTGTGTCTAGCAAAGAGTTAGAAGGAGCTGCTTATTCTATGCAAATATTTTCCAAGTTGCAATAATTCCATGTCATGTAAATATCCGGCTGCCAAGCCTGCATCTGGGCTGTGGTGGGATGGTGGGGAAGTGGTGTTTTGCTGAGGAGCAGTCGTCCCACCAAAATGGGACCAGCTCTGCTAAATGAGAAAGGGACCTGGGGGTTCTAGCGGGCAGCAGGATGGCCATGAGCCAGCAATGTGCCCTCATGGCCAAGAAGGCCAATGTCATCCTGGGGTGTGTTAGAAGGGGAGTAGCTAGTAGGTTGAGAGAGGTCCTCCTGCCCCTCTACTCTGCCCTGGTGAGGCCACGTCTGGAATATTGTGTCCAGTTCTGGGCCCCTCAGCTCAAGAGAGACAGGGAACTGCTGGACAGAGTCCAGCACAGAGCCATGAAGATGATGGAGGGATGGAACATCTCCCTGGTGATGAAAGGCTGAACGAGCTGGGTCTCTTTAGCTTGGAGAAGAGGGGGCTGAGGGGTGACCTCATTCATGTTTATAAATATGTCAAGGGAGAGTGTCAGGAGGATGGAGCCAGGCTCTTTCCAGTGATGTCCAATGACAGGACAAGGGGAAATGGGTACAAGCTTGAACATAGGAGGTTCCGCAAAAATATTGGAAAAATCTTTTATCCTGTGAGGGTGACAGAGCCCTGGCCCAGGCTGCCCAGGGAGGTTGTGGAGTCTCCTGCTCTGGAGACATTCAAAACCCACCTGGACGCGTTCCTGTGTGACCTACTGTAGGTGATCCTACTCTGGCAGGGGGGCTGGACTAGATGATGTTTTGAGGTGCCTTCCAACCCCGAGCATTCTGTGATTCTGTGATTCTGTGATTCTGTGAAATGCTTGACATTTGCTTCAGCCCAGTGGTGGGGCAACATGGAAAGGACAGTTTGAGCAGTTGCTTCGGATGATGCTGAGTGAAAGCCTGGAGGCAAACTCTTTATGGCACAGTAGTGGGTTAATCAACCCAATGCGCACATTGGCATTCGTGACAGAGCAGAGCAGTTTGAATTGCAGTCCGCGAGATCTTCAGCAACCTGCTCAAAGCAGGGTTCTCCTAGCCTCCAGCAGCATTAGAAGACCCTTGCATGGGTTCTTGTCCAGCTTGAGGGCTGATTCTCCTCAAATTAGGTGTGAACATGGCTCAGAAGCTGTCTATTTTTGTCCCAAAGAGCTTGTTGGGAAGACACTGTTCATCTTGTGGTTGCGTCTGGTAACTCTGCATCCGAAGAATGGGTTCTTCAAGGTTTCCAGAGTGAGGATGCCACGAAAAACCCATGTTGTCAGTTAAAATGAACTGCAAGATCCCCAGAGTAACAGATCTGAGCAGATTTAACGTCGGAAATTGTATTTTGTCCTAAAAGGAACTCAATGAATCCAAGGATTTCAAAGCTTTTGGCAAACATGAATTAAATCAGCAATTAATTAAGCTCTGTGGCACTCCTGTTTGATAAACAAGAGATACATTACGATCAGTCAGTATTGCCAACTGCAAACATTCACAAACTGTGAGTCCAGCTCCCAAAAATTATGACATTGGCTTAAAAAATCACGAGATTAAAACCCCAAATTGTTGCATTTTCTTTATCCACCATCTGGCTTCTCAGCCTCTAGGGTAAACACGCCTCGTGTTTTCAACTACGAGGGCTAGCCACTTACTTAAAAACATGAAAACTGAGATCCTTGTGCTTCATAATGACTCCAGCAGCTGAGGCTTTAGGAAAAATACTAGAAATCCTAAGACTCATTGTAAAATCAGAGGAATTTGCAATACCGATCACTTAAAAGGAAAATGTTTTGGGCTCAGCAGGTATTTCTGTTTGCAGCAACCCCAGCGCAGGAGCTGTGAGGACTGTCCTTCCTGGTGGAGATGGCAGGAGAATTTACGTGGATGAAATACAATTACAGGGGCAGGATATCGTGTAGTCCTTGCTGGAATTTAGCCAGGGCATGACAGATCAACACACCAGTTCTCAGGAAAACTCTTCTGGGATTGTTAATTATTAGAAATGATTGCTCCAGTCTCTTTGGAAGACGATCGCGGGCAATACCACGGCAGCAGGCACTGCTCGGGGGGGCAATAACTTTGCACCACACCACAGATGTGAATGTCACCCCCAGAAACCCCGCTCCTCCGGTTCTGCAGCCCTGACAGACAGTGTGTGTCAGGAAAATCCTGTCTCAGGCTGATCCGACTTAGCTCGTGAGACAGGGCCATTTTGGTGGCAGGGCTGGCAGCCACCGCATTACTGTCTGGAGAAGAATTTACACTGCAGTGGGAATGGCAAATTATCCGGGGGGAAAGTAGCTGCAGCAGGGCCATGCCCAGCCGAAACCAGGAAAACAGATTTCAAACTAATGTAAACAGCTTGGGTTTATCACCGGTTTCGCAGGTTCAAAAATAAATATCACCGGTTTTGCAGTTCAAAAGTTGGTTATTTTCTACTGGCACTTCAAAAATGTAGTTTTCCAGTGACCTTGAAAACCACTTTAAATATATTTTTTAGCAATTTAAAAACCTGAGGTTAATAAAAGAGAATCAGAAAAAGAAAGGAAGTTTCAATTCTTTAAGCAGGTCTATTTGTCAAGGAAGAGAAGATGAACTTGCAGCCACCTGAGCACCCAAGCATATGTATTTGAGAGAAAACTAGCTCTAATGTCTTCACCGTCGCAGGATCCTCACTGGGCATCAAGAAGCTGTTTTCTCCAAGGAAGAACATTATAGCTGTGCTTAGGATAGACTCTGATCTTTGCACCTAAACCTATTTAAAGTGACACTAAGGGCTTTTGTACTGCTGTGAAATTACCTTGGACCAGTGAGAGCCTGTGGAAATCGAAGCAGAAACAGCTTGAGAAAGCTATGGACAAATTCATGCAGTGAGCACCAGCCAGGGCTATTTCAGCAAAAAAAGATACAGCCTCTGACCTGGAAAGCCCAGGGAACAGAGGTGATAAGAGGGAGCCTGGCCTTATTTATATGGTTTTTCTCTAAGCCTCTCTACTATGTGGACCTTCAGACCAACCCACACCTGGTCACTTGAGTTGTCCTGTCCCTCAGGAATCCACCCCCATCACCAGGAGGAGCTCCCAACCAC